GGAGGTCTTGGCTTCTCTATAGTCAACCTCTGTTCTACCTGTCGCTCTGGGGCCCTCCCCACCTGCTGCTCCAAGTTTGCCTCCGCCTGTTGCTCGGGGACTCCCGTCGCTTGCCTCCTTGCAGGACTCCCCGTCATGTCACTGCTTGAGGGAACTCCCTCACCCTTGCGCCGCTCGGGGACTTCCCTCAAATGTGGCTCGTCCAAAGGACTTCGTCGCCTCCCTTGATTGATCCCTCAGCAGCGTCTAGGTTGAGCGGAGGCTCCTTCATGCTTTCGGTGAGCAGAGCCATCGGAACTTCGTCGTCATCACCGCTTTCTTCCCAATTACCAAATTTTCGAACACAGTGGTCCTTTGTGTTCGAGTGGTCTGGTCATCGCCAAGCGAGATGCCACCGGGTTTGATGGGAGTAGCAGTCGCTGTCTTCCTCTTCTTCTAGGCTAGCTCGTCTGCCGCTGCCCTCTTCCCCTAGGCTTTCTCCGACACCGGGGGAGAACTCTCCGTTCGACCAACATCCGTACCTCCGGACTCGGACGAGACGCCGATGGCACTTTTTTCAGGTTGAGTCGGTGGTCGTGCATCCACAACTGGCGACCAATTGCCCTTCGGCACACTTGAAAAGTACACCGCTCTATCCTGTAAGTGGATCTTCGCATAAGTAAATCAGTCCACTGCTCGGCAATAACAAAGGATAAAAAGCTTCAGGAATACACAACTGAGATATTTACCTAAGGAGGCAGATTTTTGCAGTTGAAGGGCTTCGTATACCCTGACATGTTGAATGAGGAAAACGGAGCGAATAGCTCTGCAGCTCGCTCTTCACAAACATTCCTCGACAGCATCTCCGGCCTCTCCCGGGTACCATCGGTCTCCCCCTTGAACTCGAAGGCTAGGTGCGCCCTCTCCTTACAGGGCTGCACGCGGCGTACTATAAAACTCGCCGCTACCAATCCGTCGTTGGTCCTCACGCCCTTTATTAAGGCAAGAAGCTCCCTCACTTGCTCCATGTCAGCGTTGTTCGACGTCTTCGACCAACTCCTCTAGCTCTCCGGGATGTCGTCAGCGTCGCAGCGGACGGCTAAGTGGCTCTGTTTCATGTAGAACCACCTAGCGTTCCACCCCTTCAATGATGTGTTCAGCAGCACAGTAAGGTGCTCGCCCGCCATCCCATCGCGTAGCTGAAGGTACACCCCTCCGACCACCTTGGAACCACCGCCGCCTCTCTTTTTCAGCCAGAACAGGTAATGGAAGAGGTTGAAGTGGGGGAGGATTTCGAGATATGCCTCACAGAAAAGGATGAAGATTGAGATGTGCAGAATGGTATTGGGATGGAGATTGCACAGACGAACCACCCAGAGCTCTAACAGATCCCTCAGGAATGGATGAACAGGAAATCCCAACCCGCGCCAGAAATAATCCTCGAATACCACCACTTCATCGGTATGAGGCATTAGGAAGGACTCACCGAGGGCCGGCCGCCATCCGGCAGTAGCAAGGTCAGGAAGAACGCCAGCCTCCACCAATCTGTTAAGCTTCACCTTTACCGTTCGCGACGGCACCCACTCTTCGTCACGCCGGGCACCGGCGCTCGCCTTCTTGGGGCTTATTTTCTTCGATTTGGCAGCTCCTTTCTTCGGCGCCATCTCTCCGATGTGATTGGGGTTTGGCGACGGAAGCAAATGTGGATGCGAATCTGGAAACGTGAGGATTGAGGATGAAGATGGAATGGCAAAGTGGCAAAGATGGGAACGTGGGATGCAGTGGTGCAGTTATAAAGCCCTTTCCCCACCCTTTTGCATTCGAGGGTTTTTGGAGAACCGTTCCCACGATTTGCGCTTCTCTGAATTCTCCGACGTGGCTTAATGGGCCGTAACCTGAGCTTTCACGCAACCGCAGCCCACGTCGCTCATTTATCGCTACCGTTGGTTATCACTCGCCAAATAATCGCTGACTTCTCCGCCATTTATTGAGGCTCAGTATCAGTTATTGTACAGCTATTACTCTGGTTTTTTCTCCATGGTTGGGTTTTTCATATACTCCGTAAATGGCTCGGGGAATGGTTGCCTGTTTGGCTGGTTTTTTTTTTATTTTTCATCGACTGCGGCACCACGTGGATCGCCACCCATTGTCGAGGCTCGGGGACTAAGTGGGCACACTTCACCTCTTGCGATAGATGAATGTGCTCTCTCTCATTTGTGTGGCTACGCTCGAGGACTAGTCGCCCCCTTTCGACTTTTGATCTTTTACTATTCTTCTACTTTGGACCTCGGCACCACATGACTACGTCATCTCTGTTAGGCCGAGCTCGGGGACTAAGTGGGCATACTTCACCTCGCGGTGAATGTGCTTGCTTTATTCCAAAAGACCCCATGCCTCTTGAAGTTGAAGAAGACTATCTCCTTTTTTCATGGTCGGACTCTAAGTGGGCACACTTGTTCCATGAAATTGGCCTTTCTTGCGAATAAATTTTTGATTATGAACTTGATCGACGATTTGGTCCCACCAATCGAAGTGTGTTGAATTGGCGCTTACCACCAAGCGGCGCTCCTTATACCCTTATGGCAAGCCGTGCTTGGGTTATGCTAGCTTCGGCCTATGTTTAAAGGTTTGCTTTCGGTGATGATAGTACGCTGCGTTTTCGGAAAGAACAGCACTCTGGCGCTTTAAGCAACTCATCATGGTGGTCGGACCATGAGTTCGATTGCTCGGCTTCGTTCGCATTTGCTCGGACAAGCTCAAGACGGCGTTGCACTACGGGTACAAGGCGCTCGGGGTCTAGCTGTGGGGGGTATGACTCCGGATACCCACGATAGACCACATGTGATGCGCCCTCAGGGGCGGCCCAACCCACAAGACGAAGCCTTATGGGGCACGACTCTGGTCGGCGCCTTCCGCGAGACATCTGGAAGATATTATGAAGATACTACGAAATCTGTTAGGATATGTATGATCCCAAGATTTCTGTAATCAATTATTACTTTTCGGTTATCTCTCAGATTTAACCGACTTGTAACCCCTGCCTCCCCGGACTATATAAGGCGGGTAGCAATAAAATCCAAAGTGTTAACACCACGCACACCTCCAAACTCACGCAATATCATCAACGATAGCTAATACAAACCAATCTTGGAAACCACGGGGTAGGGTATTACGTCTTTATTCTTGCATCTTCACGGCACTTTGAACGTGGATCGTATTATTTCCTTCGGACTCTAACTCGTGTGTCTCTGTTGCCTTCTTGTTCTTAATCTCACGCATAGCTCGTATAGCATTCCGATTAATCTACCTTCGTGGGATACCCCTCGAGGAGGACTACCGATGATATTATATATCTCATCGGCTTTCGAGTCATGGTCATTATCGGAGTTTTGCAGGTTGGGTGCTGCTCCTTTTTCCTTTTTTTTCTTTCCAAACTCCAAACTCAATGATCCAAATACCTTTTTCTATTGCTTTACTACCAAGAACATTGCCCTGAAGTCCTCTTCATATTTTAGCTACTTTTGGTTGTCAACAATTTACCATTAGATCTAAGAGAGCCATCATGGACCCAATAACAATCTCCAATGTCAAGACATCATGATGCCAATAATCTCCAACCAAACATGTGTGGTCCTAACATCATCTTCTTCTTCGTCTTACCATATCTTCCAACTACCTAGGGCAAAGAGTCGCCATTGTTACCAGCTCTGCTCTCATGTGTCCTCTCCGTTATATTTGGCATTGTATCTTTATCATCCTATTCATGTCGTTCGTATATGAGCAAGATTTTAGTGCGCTTCGTCTTATGATCTACCATATCATTATGTTTGAATCAGCGTTAGGGCTCTAGATACAAGGGATAATTGCTAGCTAGCTAAAATTTAGTCAATTTTAGCTAAGTTTTCAACTAGTCGTTAGCGAACTAGCTATGGATCATAGCTAATTTAGGCTAATTTTTAACTGTAATAACAAGTAATAACCATGTGTATGGAATGTGACCATGTAAAAGAAACTGTAGCGGAGGAAGGTGGAAGGATGAATGCGGTGGTGCGTTGCGGCCACAGCGAAGGAAGGCCACAGAGGATCCCACCACGCAGGCGCAGCCCTGTGTCCCTCCCTCCCTTCTTCCTCCACACCCGGCAGGCGCAGGCAGAGGCACAAGGCACAGCGCATCGCCCCCCCTCCTCCTCCGTGTCCACAGCGCCCGCGCACCCCAACCACAAGGAACAAGTCGGAGTCCAGCCATCCGACCTTGAATCCCCTCGCACTCCTGCTTGATCCCGCCGCCGCCGCCGCCGCCGTCGCCATCTCAATCGCCCACTCCTCCCTCCTCCGTGTCCACAGCGCCCGCTCACCCCAACCACAAGGAACAAGTCGGAGTCCAGCCATCCGACCTTGAATCCGCTCGCACTCCTGCTTGATCCCGCCGCCGCCGCCGCCGCCGTCGCCATCTCAATCGCCCACTCCTCCCTCTCCCTCTAGGGTTCCCTGCCGCTCCCGCGAATCGCGCAATCGGAGACCCCCGGCCCGCCCTCCAATGTGAGTTCCTCTCCCTCCCGCTACTCGACTTCCTCTTTTCGGTTCGATTCACTACAATCTCATGGCGATTTCGCCGCCCCGCCCTCTTCTTCTGTAATTATTGCTGTTGTTATTATTAATATTAGTCCGTCGTGTATCCCCGTAGCAGAGCAATCCGGTGGAATTTAGGACTGTCATATGTTTCTGCCTATGGATTTAAAGTTGGATTTAAAGTTGGACGTCTGATTTGATAGAATCGGGCAACGTTCGATGCCCTCTGTGTCTTCTACACTTCAATCAGTCTCCCATGTATCAGTTTATCCTGTGAAGTGCCACGATATTTGGGATCTCAAGTTCCTGATACTGTACCTTAAGGATTGATTGATTCATGTCTTATCTGTTCGAGTCTGGGCCGTCTTCTTATTCTTCCACATGCATAATACTTGGGACTTGGGTGGTTGTTTCTCCTCACGCTGGCTGACTTCCAATCCACCAGGACGACCATGAGCGACGATGGCGACCGCACCTGCCCGCTCTGTGCTGAGGAGATGGACATCACTGACCAGCAGCTCAAGCCATGCAAATGCGGCTACGATGTATGTCTACCGATCCTCCTCCTATCCTATCATATCGATCAGATTGCAGCCTGCCTTGCCTGCGCTGTGTGCCATCATCTAATAATAACTGCCACTTAACTCTGCAGATTTGTGTTTGGTGCTGGCACCACATCATAGACATGGCTGAGAAGGAGGAAACAGAGGGCCGCTGCCCTGCATGCCGCACACGCTATGACAAGGACAGGATCGTCAAGATGGCTGCCACTTGTGACAGGTCCGTCACAATGCTTCTCTTCTTACCAATCAATTTCTGTAGTGCTTCAGCAGACTACAACATTTGCGACGATTACCCTCAGCAGACTACAACATTTGCGATCGATTACCCTTTTTATTATCATGGGAAATAGGAATAGTTAGGTCTTTGCTATTGATTACCCTTTTATATATCATGGGAAATAGGAATAGTTAGTTAACTGGACCCATCTGTGAAAGTTGACCTTGCCACTAGGTATCTCAAACTTACCTTTACATTGATGATGGAAGCAGGACGGTGGCAGAGAAAAATGCAGAGAAGAAGCACAAGGCCCAAAAGGTTAAGCCAAAGGCAGCACCACCAACAACAGCAATGTCAACCGTAGAATCTAAGAAGCATCTGGCTAGTGTCAGGGTTATCCAGAGAAATCTGGTGTACATAATTGGGCTACCTGCGCATTTATGCAACGAGAGCGTGAGTTCACATCCAGATTTGTCCAAGTTGTGTGTGATATGTTTAAATTTTACTTCTCATACCAACTCTACAATTATTTCTGGTTTAGGTACTTGAGCGCAGGGAATACTTTGGTCAATATGGGAAAGTTTTGAAGGTTTCAGTTTCCCGTCCGACTGGGCCTCCCTCTCAGGCATCAGCAAACAGCAATATTAGTGTGTATGTCTCTCTGAACCGTACGTTGTACATGCATGATCTGTTCATACTTCACATGCAGTTAGATTTCTACTTTCAGTACTGGTCAATTAGCCTAATGGTATATCAAATAATTATCCACTTTCTATGCAATCGCATGTTTCAAGTTTCTAATGCTTCCTTGTAATACTGGACCATTGGTATTATAAGAAAGTAAATTCAGACTTCAATCTTGTTATTATGTGGTTTTCTAGTGAACTTGGTGAAAATGTGATATTATGTCCATATCCTTGCAAGTAGCTCAGTCATTTAAGTTTAATCTGAACTACTTAGCAGTGTGATTTGCTGATTTGCATAACTGCTTGAAAGTAACATTTGTACCCTCATTGCCAACATTAGGATATGTATTGTATTATTGGCGTGAAATTCAAAGAACCAGATAGATGCAAGGTATCTGTTTCTGGGCTAAGCTCAGAACCCAATCCTGCATGTGCAGATATAGATGAAATTCATCTCTTAATGAAATGCCTAATTTTCTTAGTTTGAGTACTTTATATTGTTCTCCTGGGATGTGTTTTTTAGTTTCTGGGTGATTTCTATTGGAAATCCCAAGAAAGTGTCTGGATGTATTCTGAAACTGTGTTATCCCTGCCTTAAAAAAAGAAACTGTGTTATGCCAGAAACATGCATTGTTTATAATTAAACAGAACTGAGTTAGGGATTATCATTAAGGCATTAACCGCCAAAGGGCACCTAGCTCAAACGGTTAGGTGACCCAGCGGCACTCCTCAGGTCTTGGGTTCGACTCCCCGTGGGAGCGAATTTCAGGCTGAGGTTAAAAAAATCCCCTCGTCCGTCCCCATAACCAAAGCACTGGGGGGGCACCGGCCCAATTCTCACTTGGGCGACGGAAAGCCACCGTGTAAGGGTGGGGGCGGGGGTTCGGGGGTTTTCTCGGCCGGGTGAGAAGGTCCTTCTTCTTATTTGTAATGCTGCGGGGGCAGTCTTAACCCCCCCGGTCGAGTTTTTTTTTTATTAAGGCATTAACCAAAATGGAGTTAGGGTGCCTTTTTTTCTAGTGTAGAAATTGCTGTGTATATTAAAATTTGCATGCTTGCAACACGTCTAATATGGATTGTATTTGAGTGGTCTCTTTGTTAAAGAACATGTGAAATTAGAGTTGTAGTCTTCTAGAACACACACTGTTCCTCTTCTTTACTTTCTCTACATAATTCTTGCTTGTGTTGATATGTTGCCGTTACTCATTGGTTTAGCTATCCTTATATGTACATGCTGTTACATGAACCAATTAGTTTTTCCCTGAAGAGATTATACCTACTGATTTGTTGAGGATCTAGTAATCATGGTCCTAAACTGTTTAAGAACCATTGTTGTTGTTTGCATGTTGTTGCAACAAGTTATTCCCTCGAGTCATAGATAAGTGACCTTTTGCACTGTGTGCAGTCTAAGTATTTAAACATTGATCATCAACACCTCTTGACATAGTTAGATTGAATATGTGAAAATGACATGAGCGTATCTGTCTCGAATAGTAGTTGCATAATGTTATGATATTTCTGTACTTTGTAATTATTGCAAGCAATGGGAACTAGCAGTCAAAGGTACACATTAATGACTGTGGACGTCTTATTTGTGACGGTAGGGAGTGTTCTGTTTGTGTGAGAGTTAGATACAGAATTTCTGCTCTTGCTTAAACAATGATGGATTCTTGTCAAATGTGTACAGTTATATTACTTATGCCAAAGAAGAAGAGGCCATCCGGTGTATTCAAGCTGTACACAATTTTGTCTTGGAAGGGAAAGTGTTAAGGTGAGTTTCTATACTTTGTTCTCTTGTTTAAGTTTTTCACAACATAGTAACTCAAATGGTTGTTGACTGTTGCAGGGCATGCTTTGGTACTACGAAGTATTGCCATGCATGGCTGCGAAACATGGTACAATTGTTGCTTCGTTCTGATATCTTCATTTACTTAGTACTTACTCTACTACCCAATTCACTTATCCTGACTGTTTCTTGTCTTTTCTCAGACATGTGGGAATCCAGATTGTCTCTATTTGCATGATGTAGGCAGTCAGGAGGATAGTTTTACTAAAGATGAGATCATCTCAGCATATACGAGGTAGTACTGAGCTATTTTAACATATCTTGTGGAACCTTAGTTTCTTGTTCTGCTTCCTTATTAATTTTAGCCCTAAGTCATGTGCTAGTCCTGGCTATCACTTTCCTTCTCTATCTAAACTACTTGTGTTGGTCCCTCGGCTGCCCTGCACAGGTAAGCAGTAAGCTTACCAGCACACTCACTCACTGTGGCTAGAGGTAGAAGAAGATATTGAGAACAGCTCACACACACATAGCACAAGCCCAGCGCTGGCCGAAAGCTCTGCTTCTGTACAATGTTTTTAAGGCGTCGCTTAATCGGCAAGGCGCTACAGGCGGGACGACTTGGCGGACGACTCGCCTCAGATTGGTATGGTGTCCGCCTTACTACCATGGCGTCCGGAAGTCGTCGATTTGGCGTCCGATTCATTGAAATCGAGCAAGGCGGGCGCCATACGGGGATGGCCACAGTAGGAAAACGCGGGCACGGGAGAAAGGACGGGGAAAGTGCAAAGTGCAGGCTGGAAAGCATCGCAGCCGGAGATTAGGCGAATCGAGCGGCACAAGCGAGAGAGAAGGCGAGAATCAAGTGGAATCGACGAGGAGACGGCGGAATCGAGGGGAGTACTTATGTAATTGACAGATTACTTATTGACTCAAATGTGCTCCAACAACGCTCACAACCTGAAGCCGAAGCACAAAGCCCAACAACACGTTTTGCAAGTCTTTGAAGCTCTACGACTTTGCCACCCTCGATTCCGCCGTCTCCACGTCGATTCCGCTTGATTCTGCCTTCTCCTTGCTGCTGTCTGCTCGATTCCGCCGTCTCCTCGCCGCCGTCCGCTCGATTCCGCCATCTCCTCGCCGCCGTCTGCTCGATCTGGAAGGGGACGGTGGCAGCTGTAGATCTAGAAGGGGAGCAGCGAGGGAGGGGAGCAGAGCAGCGGAGAGACGAACGGAGATGGCAGAGCAGCAGAGGGAAGCGGCGCGCGGAGGGATGAATGGAGGCGGAATGAGTGGTGGAGAAGCGAGAGAGAGCCCTGGAGGGATTAGGATAAGCCACGCCGAGGAGGGGACGGGCACATGGGCGCTGGTGGTGGTGGGCCAGCCCACTTCTTACTCCTCTTTTCTTTTTCCTTTTTTCCTTCTTTTTTCTTCATCATCTACTGCTCTAAGTTGTTGTTTTAAGTTTTTCTTAAATTCGTAAGGCGTCGCCTCGCCTCACGATTTAGTCGCTTAAGTGTAAGGCGGTAGTCACTCGCCACGCCTCGCCTACCACCTTAAAAACATTGCTTCTGGATGTGGCAAACTGAACTACTCTTTTGCATTGCCTTAGGTGTGATATATATACAAGTGCTAGTACTTCTACCAGGTACATAGTTGTTGGTGAGTACACCAACTACCTACTCCTAAGGTACACCAACTACTCCTAGTACTAGCAGTACAATTGTACAAAGCTTACATCAGCCCACTACCAAGACATGGCTGATGTAATAGCTACCAACTAATGTACTAGAGGTGGCCTACTGCCATACTGCTACAGCAGTAGAGACTAGACAGCCGAGCTGACCAAATGCCAACTCTGTTGCAGCAAGAGAGAGAGAGAGAGAGATCAGCAGCAGATTATGTCTTACAACTTGTACTCACATTGCCTTTTTGAAAACACCATTTATTTTCCACTTTTGGATAAGTTAGTCCCTTGAAGCCATACAAGCAAAGTCTTACTATGTATAAGCTGTTGGTGTTCTCTGTGGGTTTATTTACAAAAACATGTCTTCTTCAATGTGGATGCGTATTATATTAAGTGTTGCTTTGATGAACTCATCCCTATGCAAAATTTTATTATGTATAAGCTGTTGGTGTTCTTTGTAAGTTGATTTAGAAAAAAGTATGCGTGCTTCAATGTGGATGTTTTATTATATTAAAGTACTGCTTTGATGAACTTTGTGCTAAAACAATTTTGATAGTTTCAATTGCTACTTTTCATTCACTCTTCTACATTCCTGTCAGGACTAGAGTCCCCCAGATGGCATCTAGTGTTTCACAAAGACGTACAGGCACTGTGTTGCCTCCTCCAGGAGATGATTTCTCTTACAGTGCAGTGGTTTCAGCCAAGCATACATTCAAGAATGGAACACTTGTATGTTCTCTATCTGAAAATTCAAAGTGCATTGGAAGACATGCCATTTTTTAAAACTTAATGCTGCTTTCTAGTCTAGGGTTAATCGATGATATTTCATCATGTTTTGGCTTACATACTCCATTAACTGGCCACCATCTGTGCAGAATACCACCAACCAGCCCAGACTTTCACCTCCAAACAGTAGTTCTGGGAGGTCCACACTTCCACCAGCTGCCTCATGGTATGGTACCTCTAAAAGTCTTATGCTACCTTTTTTGCTATGCATTGAAGCTGAGGACTGTGTTAATGATCCCCCCCCCCCTTTTATGTGCAGGGGGCAGCGCGATTTGAATGCCAGGACAACAGCTACTGGGGCGACATCATCACAATCTCATACAAAACCTAAATCAGAATCACAGAGTAATCCATTTTCAAGTTCTTCAATAATTTCTAGTACAAAAACACCCTCTTCGTGGAATGATGATACAAGTACAGCAACAAAAATGTCTGAAGGACAGCAAGTGTCAGAAAAAGAGTCTAAAACCTTACAGCCGTATAAGCCTGGTATTTCAAAGGAAACACAAGCTCTATCATCACTGGACATAGATTTCTCGACAATACCTTCAGCTTGGAATGATGATGACATTGTAGTATCAGATGGGATATCAAAAGGAAGCGATGAAAATCAAGTTGCAAATGAAAATGGCGAGCTAACCCATCCAGCATCTAAGCCACTGGTTTTATCTAAGAATGACATAACAATGAACAACATTACCAGCAAAAGTCCTTCAGATTTTGTATCAAGTCTAGCAATATCTAAATCAGATGTAAGTACGAGTGATGGTGACCACTCACTTACCAATATTACTCCTAAAAGCCTTACTTCAAAGGCTGTAGACTGCCAATCTAGTCATGCTGCTGGGGAGAAAATATTGGAGGATATTGGATCCAGGAACACTGACATGGAGAAGCTATCTGCTGAGATATCTTCAGTAAAATTAGGTGGCAACAATGATATTCAGAGTATGGCAGTGCCATGCACATCGGTTGATGTGCCTATGGATCAGAATTTTGACAAAGACCAACCTCATCCCAATCTTGATGAGTTCTTCTTACCTTCAGAAAATAAGGATACTATTCTTTCTTGTCAATATAGTTCTGATAAGCGTCTTGATTGGAGTTCAGAGCTGCAAAATTGTGGTGTGACTCCTTTAAATGATATAGTAGATTCTACAATGCTCACTGACAAACTTCATAGTGTACTGCTGGATGGTTCAAAGCAACCATCATATTCGTCATTTGCCCAATTTCCTAGTACATTAGATAATTCGTTGTGGAATGATACAGAAAGTAACCCTGCATTGACGATTGGCACTAGAGCATCTTCACAGACAGGGTTTTCTTCAATAAATAACACTTATGTCTTGCCAAATGAAGGTCAAGATGGGCTAGGGACTGTATATACACATGGTAATGTTTCTGGGCATCCTGGAATAGGAAGTCATCAGCATAGAGCAATGGGTTCAGATAGTATAGGAAGTTTTGACAAGACCATAAGTGTAAATAAGGATGAGAGCAGAATAATTTCTGATATGTTGTCGTCAGAGTTTAATCCGTGGGATGATTCATATTCAACTGCTAACAATTTTGTTAGGATGCTTAGGGAATCTGAAAATAATGATGTCCATTTCACTGCGCCTTCATGGAAATCAGGAACTGGGAGCAAAGAGTCCAGATTTTCATTTGCTAGACAGGATAACCAAGGAAACTTGTTAGATTCATCTCTCAGAAACTGTGGTACTGGTACTGAGCAGAATTTCAGTTTGCTGCCCCAGAATTCTCGAGGAAATATTTACCAGAATGGCCTTTCATTCCAATCTCTAGAAAATGATTTTTCCAATAGCAACTCTCTTGGTGTATTAGATATGGCAACTGCTGGTGAGTACTGTGATACCTTTTCACTACTTTGCCTGACTGAGCAGAATGATAGGTACTGTAAATCACAAAAAAAAAAAAAAGAATGATAGGTACTGTTATTGAATGAACTTATTTCTGTGTGCTGCACTTATTTTTCATTCAGTATTGGTAAAGATATTCTGACTCATGCAAATAGATTGTTGATCTGTTGGTGCTTATTATGTGATTTTTATGTTTACCAGTGATAAGTTTATGTGCTTACGAAGAATTTGCTTTCTCAGGTACATCGAGGTCTAAAATATCTGCCCCCCCAGGATTTTCAGCACCAGCAAGAGTCCCCCCTCCTGGATTTTCTTCTGCATTTCCATCCCAGGATAGTTTGAACCCCACTCCTGGGTTTCCTTCTGGAATTTCGTCTCATGATGGGTCTATCCCCCTTCCTAGATTCCCTTCTGCATTTTCTTCTGGAATTTCAGCTCAGGAAGTGTCTAAGCCCCCTACTAGACTGCCTTCTCCATTTTCTTCTGGATTTTCATCTCAGGATGGACCTAATACCTCTTCTAGGTTCCCTTCTGCTTTTTCTTCTGGACTTCCATCACAGGATGGCCTTAATCCCCCTTCTAGATTTCCTTTTGCATTTTCTTCTGGATTTTCATCACAGGATGGGTCTAATCAGTCATATGGCTCAACATACCAAGGTTTGTTTCCTGTCTCAGTATTTTTTCTTATTTTCCTATAACTAGTTTGATTTCTCATGCCTTTTGCGGTTCTTCACAGACAATATTCTCCGGGATACTGTTTTGGGTGGCAACAGTAATCATTACCAATCTCAGTTTGGAAGGCACTCAAGTGATATGGAGTTTGATGATCCTGCTATATTGGCTGTGGGCAAAGGGCTGATGCCTGGAATTGGCGATTCAGGGCTGGAGATGAAAAATTCTCCTGCTTTTCAAGCACAGTTGCAACCAGCAAGTAGCGATCCAAGGTTTCAGTTACATGTACAGCCAAATGTGCAGTCTCATCAAAACCTGAGATTCACAGACCCTATGCAGGATGGCTTGAACCATATGAACGATAATTACCTGGCATCCAGATTTTTAGCTCAGAACCATGGTCCTGTATCCCCTTATGTGCACATTCTGCAACAACCCAGAAACTCTCAGGTTACAAATGGTCACTGGGATGGGTGGAGTGATTCGAGACAAGGGAATAACACCCCTATGTCAGACATGTCGAGGGTATTATATCCAAGTGAAGCGAACAAGTTGCACATGCTAGGTTCAAATGATATCTATAACAGAACCTTTGGAATGTGATTTCTCCTGGGATAATGTGTGACTTTGTGCTGACATGTTCTAACTTGGGGCATTTTGTGGAAGTAACTGGTTGCGCACAACGCACAGTATACCTGAGGTGGATAGTGGTGTTGTGCTTATGAGCTGCTACACGAGTATTTATTGCTATTGGAATTGACCAAAATGAACCTGAGTTTTGGTCCAGCCATTTGAAATTACCAGGTATGCATGCCATTGGTTAGTTTTTTTTGTTAGTGAGAGCAGGTGTTCTATGTATTGGTGCACAAACAAGTTGAAAACTGACCTTCCCTTTGGTTTATTTGTTGATGATCAGGTTCATTCTCTTCTGATTTGAGAAGCTTGAGTGAAAAGAAAGATTATGTGCCGAGAAGAACAAAGCAGCTGGAGCTGAAATAGATAGAGATATGTCTATAATGTGTGTAGTGTGACTTGTGAGTGAAAGAGATTAAGAAGCTTAGGTGGGCTTGGCTTGATGGCAGTTTGTTTTCTCGTGTCTGTACATGATGATTTTGGTCGGTGTTTGTAGTAACTTGGTGATCGGTGGCTCTATTGACTCGTTTCTCTTGCTCCCTTCTGTTTGTGGCTGCCTGGCGAGTACATTTGCACAGGGAATTGAGTTTATATCAATTAAGGGAATTGAGGTGACGGTTTACAAGAAAGTCATAACTGTCAGTGTTACCCATGGTATAATAATATACGATACTGCACTGGTTTCTTTGCTAGCATTACTTCGTTTGTTTCAACAACAAATCCCTTAACCTTTCTTAAAAACAAACTCTATGCTTCGATTTGTCTGCCAAAACTTTGTACATTTAGTCTCCAGTTAGCTAAACATAATAAATTCTTACGCATTACATACAGCTCAGGGACCGGGTGGTTCTCTAGCCAGTTAGTTTCCTCTACATACAACTTGGGGACTCAGTGGTTCTCAAGCTACGACTCAAGACTGGTCCCATACATACGTAGGTACAATGTTTTCGAGGCGTCCGATTAATCATGATTACTCATCTTAATCGGTCTCTGATGTTCGATTAAGAGGTCTGACTCGATTAGCTCGATCAAAAAGTTGGTTGTTCGATTAGTCGACGAGAAATCACGATTAGTCGTCCGACTAGGACAGGAACGACTAGTTTGGTTACTCTGTTTTTGGGCTTGTTTAACTGGGCGGATATATGGGCTACTGGGCTTGCAGTTTGGCCTGATAGGGTTAGAATGTTTAGCAAAAAGGATTGTTAGCCTTTGTTGCGTTGCATCTGGATGCGAGCGTAGTTGAAGTAATTTTTTTGCTGTAAGTGCTAGTGTAGTACTGCTGAGTAATTAAGTATGGTAGTAATATTGATATGTGATTCTGCATTATATTTTGTGTAGGTCCATACAAAAAAGAGAAACCCATTAGAGCACCAAAGGTTAAATAAGTTGGTATATGTCAGTTACAATCGCAAGATGAAAACAGATTTAAAAAAAAAATAGAGAGCTGGGTTCCGAAGGAAAGAGATGCAATCCACTCTTGCTTGATGAATTTCATTGGGAAAATGAATGGGTCAATGAAAATTGTGTACCAGAACCAGTTCAGGAAGGTGGTGGCGATGCTATGACTTGGGCTGTTGTAGATGAGGTTATTGGTGCAACTCAAGGTCTAGAGAGACGTAACTTGCCTAGGGCTGCTGTTACTCGTGCCGCTGTTGCTGCCCCTGTGAGGTGTACTTATGCTAGGAACAGAAGCGTCCAATGAACACAGTGGCCCAAGATATTGATGAAGTTGATGATGAAGACCAAGATCAGCATGTAGATTTAGCAATAGCAATGGAGGAGGATGAAAAATCTACACCAACTGAAACTGGAGATGGACCAAATGGAGATGAAGATGGAGGCTTCAATTTTAATGTTGATTTGCTTAATTAGATGGCTAGTTGTCTACTTTTGTTGAACTGTTAAATGTCGATGTTTGTGACTCTGTGTTGAACACTTTAGCTTATGTGTACTTAACTTGTTTGGTTATGTAATATGCTGGCTGTGTGGCTGCTATGGTCTGCTGTGTGCTAACTGCTAAATGCTAGTTATTTGCTACTGCAGCAGTGCTGCTGTTGAGCTGTATCAAGATCAAGACTACATTAGTGTTGCTAATTATGGTCTTCTTTAGTATTTTAGGCTTCCAACAGCAAGTCAGTAAAGAAATGGAGTTTGGGACAAGAATATGGACCTCTGGACATGACAGAAAAGAGAAGAAAACAACTCCCACAAGTAAGTCACCAGCTAAACACTAATGTAGTCATGATGCTTATTTTATTATGTATACTATATAGTATATATAAGTATATATATAGTAGCTATATATGTTCTAGATATAAAGGACGACCAAGGGTCGACTAGGCTCGACTAATCGGCCTGGACAACGACTAATCGTGATTAGTCTTCTAGTTGGGCCCATGGCGATTAGGTTCGACCGGACGACTTGAAAATATTGCGTTGGTACATACATACAAATAAGGCAGGCCTGAGTGCTGCTGCTCACTATGTTCTCATCTGAGACCCGGCCGCATGAGCAGCTCGTCGAAGGATGCTCCGTTCTGCTCCAAGTCCACCGCCACACTACCTGAATTGTTGTTCGCGGATGACGAGGCACCACCCATGGACCTGTTGCTGTTGGACACGAGCAACTGCTGTTGGATGGTAGAGCGCTGCATCTCCTGGGGTCCCCGCTCGATGGCAATGGCGTCCTGGATCTCCTTGAGCACCTCAGAGATGGGAGGCCTCTGCGCGCCCTTGGGCTTCACACACATTATGGCCACCTCCGCGATCTTCCACACAGACTGCAGGTCATAACCTCTGTCCAATGATTCGTCAACGATGGCGTGGATGTTCCCGCTCTCGATGTGCGATCGGGCCTGCCATGTTCATTTGTTTAATTTAGTTTTTACATCCACTGCTTTTGCTTCAGCAGAAACTCACTGATGGAACAGGAAGCAAAACTGATGCTAGTACTGTTCACTTCTTACCCATGCCACAATGTTACGGCAGTTGAGCCCAAAGTTGTCATTTGAGATTGGTTCATGGCCGGAGATGAGCTCCAGCAAAATCACACCAAAGCTGTAGATGTCGCTCTTCTCTGTTAGCTGCTGCGAGATATAGTACCTAACCACACCAGGACAAAATCGATTCTTTAGACAACATGAAACAAAATGATACAAAACACCTCAGTCAGATTGCTTGGCCTTACTCTGGGTCCAGGTATCCCACTGTTCCTCGAACTATACTTGACACATGAGACCCATCCACTGCAGGTTTCGATAGCCCAAAGTCTGCAACTTTTGCTCTCATGTTCTTGTCTAGGAGAATGTTGCTGCTCTTCAGGTCTCTATGGATAATTGTTGGGGAGCATCCTGTGTGGAGATACTCTATACCTGATTTTTGCAATTTCACATTCAGAATCAGAACCGTGGTGGCTAATTTCACCATATTCAATATACAAGTAGTGAATTGTGAAACCAGCAGACCACAAACCTTTTGCAGAATCTTCTGCAATCTCAAGACGCTTCAGCCAGCTAGTTATCTTTACATTATCAGCTCCTGCGAAACACCACCAAAAGTTTACCCTCATCTGTATATGTTTTCTCTGTTGACCATGGGGTGCTGTCATCTAACACTTCATGTTGCTGCTAGGGTTGAATCACAATTGAGAGCTAAACTAGAGATATCTGGCATACACAAAAGCCTGTCTATCATTAAGGAGAATCTGATCTAACTTCATGTTTGAGTTCAGTTAATTAAGCACGCGCGAATGCTCTGCAGTTCCAAAAGATGTAAAATTAACAGTAGGAGCATTATTTTAGTTAAGTTATATACCAGAAACATTTAGCTTGTCTGCTTCTGGAAGAATAACTATCCACCTACTGACAGTTTGTCGTTGGTCCTACATTGTAGATTTACCATCAGTTGGATGTGGACTTACCACAGAGGTGCTCTTTTAGTGTCCCATTATGCATGAACTCATACACTAATATGTTTTTGCCATCTTGTTGACTGTAACCAAGGAATGTAACCAGGTGTCTATGATGTATTCTGGAAAGCAATGTCACCTGAAACAAGATGTTAGCCAGCTACATATATGCAAGAACACACTAAGTTCCGTATTTCAGGCTGCCATAATTCAGAATTGCATAAAAAAGTATAGAGGAGGGTTATCCGGTTATGCAACTATTTTGAACTAATGTTGAGAGTATGAGAACAAACCTCATTCAAGAATTCTCGGATTCCCTGATAGGAGTCGTTTGTGAGAAGTTTGACTGCAATCTCTCTCCCATCAGCCAGCTTCCCATAGTATACTATGCCAAAGCCTCCAGAGCCAATTCTTCTCTCAAATTTGTCAGTAGCATCTTCAATTTCAGATAAAGAAAATCTGTGTGCTGATTCTGTAGCTACTTCACTAAAGTATGAACCAAGTTTTTTTGCTGGTGCTGCAATAACAACAGTGTCTGGAGATGGCAAAAGAATCACTGCATGCCCTAGCATAATATCAGATATGCCAATTGAGCTAAAGAGTGTGTACCTTCGTGAGATTTCTTCTTTCTCCTACATGTAATGAAATAGCACCCAATAGCAACGCCCAGTAAGACAATGGCTCCAATCACCGCACATATAACAATTATGGTGTGGCTAATGCCATTGCTTACTATGTGAAGGCCACTGTTGCCTGAGAAGCTGCAGCATGAAACAATTAGAACATATGGGAGTCATGCGACCATTCTAAGAACAGCATAGCTATTTGATTTGTATATGTAAGCATTTTGATGGGACTGAAGAGTGAAGGCTGTCAAGCCACATTAGTGTTCAAAAGCATGATCTGAAATTAATAGTCTGCTTTAAGGACAGGATACTAACATCAAAATAATGCTTCTCTTGAGAAGTGCTTTTGGAACCTGCCCAGACAGTTTATTGTTTTGAACATATCTGCAAAAGTTTTAGTTCATAAGAGCAGTTCTTTTTTCCATAAAGATCCTCAC